TTCAAATTTCAGAAAGCTAGAATCACAGCCCCATTTTGCAGATAAAAAGACTGAAAAGTTTTCCTTCAGAAGTTTAAAATAATCCCGGCTTACAAAGGGAAAACCTATCCAACAGCCATTTGGACAACGGAAAGAAAGAAAAGCCCTAGAGAGAGTCCGTGGCACTGCCGAGCCGGGAGTTCAGCTGCTCCCGGTCCTCGCTCGGGCAGGCAGGCAGTCCACTGCACCGCGCTAGCCTTGAATCAGCCTCAGTTCACTAAAAACTAGTTTGAAAAACAAAAACAAAAACAAACAAACAAAAAAAGCCAGTGCATTTAACAAGCTTTTAAAATCAATAAGCTTTTTTTTGATTGGGTGAATTGCAAAATCGGTTCACAGTGCCAACTGAAATGAAGCTTTTACATGCCATTAGGCAACTACAAAAGGGGGGAATTTTCCACGCGGGTATTCCACCCAGCTGGTCAGGAAAAAAACGAATTTGAGCAAAATGTCAGGCCGTCAGAACACGCTCGTGTCTTTCAAATAAAGTTGCTGGCCTCTTCCAACGTCTCCCCTGTACGTGTCCTCACCCACGTAACAACAGGCCCATGCGGGGTTTTCTTGCTCTCCCTGAGCAGCTCTCCCGGGTTAACTGACCTAAGAGGCGGCAGTGCCGTGCACGGCACACGGCGGCTTTTCCTCCGGTTCTGGGCCAGGACAGTTGGATCACGCTTGCATGAATAAGCCCTGCCTTGCCTGCACGTTTGTCTTTTCACGGCCATCGTGCTTTCTAAGGAAAAAAAAAAGTTAATGTTTCTGCAAATTCTTGCAGGACCAGCAAAGTGAGTGCCTGAAAACTCTTTTGGCTTAATGAAAAGGCTCTGGAGTTGGTGTCAAAGCCACCACTGAAAGCATAAGGTGCCAGGATCTTTTCTGTCTGTGATGATTCTGCTCCAGAAAACACAACTGTGAAGCCCCCTAAAAGACAGGGGTAGCTCTAAAAAATAAAAGCGTTTTTTTCCCCGTGCACTTCACTTTAATGGAGGTTAGGCATACAAGTTTTCCTAAATAACACATACAATTTAAAATGATAAATTAAAACCTGTAGTAGGAGGCCTTCTTTTCCAGGGCTGTATAGTTGACCCTTTTGAACCTACATTACTCAAGGTATGCAAAATATATGTGTATAATAAATAGCTCCAGAATTTATGGAGTGGAACAGAAAGGATATTAACAGGCAAGTAGAGAGGCTGTATAACCCTCACAAGGCCTTTAAAGATTTATTTTTTTAAAATGAAGGAATGCATGCATGTAAAAGGTAGTACTTAATCGATACCCTTCTTTGTGCCTTTCAGAAACACATGCAAAACGACTCCCAGTCTGCCCTCAGTCTGGTCATTCTCCTGCTAGCAGCAGTGGGAATAAGATTATTCACAACGCTATTTTTCTTTGATTTTTTAAAAATTCCTCTCTGTGTGGGCTCATTCCCACTCTCAGTAAAATCAATTACGAGACTCCCGTCGACTCCGGAGGGATTTGGATCAGGCCCTGTGGAAGTGGGTCTACAGCAAGTGTAGAACAACGCAGTTAATATGATTTATTGTGTCCGTTTCTGTGCGCGCAGTTTTTCATTTTCTAAAGCCTGCAGTTTTGCTTTCATCCTCACGTTCAGGAGATAAGAGCCGTAGATCTGTGTTGATCTACAGGCTGGGTGCGCGGCGAGCTGGGGGCGGGGCGCCCACGTAAAGCAAGTCTCCCACGCAGGCGCGGCGGAAGGTGCCTAAGCCGTTAGAAGGATTCTGCTGCGGTGGGGGAAAAAATACCCTTTAGTAAAACTGAGAAAAAGCAAAATCCTTTTCCTGTTTATTAAAAAAAAAAAAAAGTACCTTTAACATGTCACCATTAAAGTTCCAGAAATTCATTAAAAGCTTGTTTTACAAGGAAGACTAAGGCTCCAAATCAGAGATATTTCATTTCACTGGGCTTTTACAGATTTTACGTTATTAAACCCTGACACTGCTGCTTTTGGGGGTGGTTGCTGAATACTGGGCTTCCTTAAGACGAAGAAACTGCAGGGTAAGAAGATCTGTGGTTTGATAGTGGTGAAAGAATATTATCTAAACATGAAATAACAACATGCTTGGTGCCTAATAAATTCTAAATTGAAATATGATTTAATAAACACAGGCAACATATTCCACACACACAAAAAAAAAATACCAGAATTGGCAGAACAAAAATCACAGTTTAGTCAATTCTTCTCTTAACCTCACAATCCTTTGGCTACAAATTAGAATTTCTGTGAACAGGATTGATAAGCGAAATTAGGCACTGTCTTTCAGAAACAACCCAAATGCTTTAAGGCAATATGTCTGGAGATGAGCAGAACAAAATCCATCCAAATATGAAACCGTCCATATTTCAGTGGAAAGAAAATACAGGAACCCCAAAAGCCAAAATCTCATCAGAGCAACGAGGCCTATGTTGTATGTCCTACCATAAGCTCCTATTTTTAAGCTTTTGATGCACCTGAACTTCTTCCTCCCTTATTTCTTTTTGCCATTTGAACCCTGATTGAGATGAAGGGCAGATCTGAATGCAGCCCTTCAGCCTCATTCCCACCGGCAGCTTGTTCGGCTGCTAAGAAAGTCCTCAAAACACACACTCAACACGCTAGCAGCGGCAGGGCTGCACCCCAAAGATTTGAGGCAAGAGCAGTTAGCGGATTTGCAAAAGGGCTATCACAATTCTCTTACTATCTATCTATCTATCTATATATGCAGAATTTCTACGTGAGGCAGATTTAAATGTCCCCAAAATGATGGCAGGTTTTTGAGACATAAACCCTCCACGCAAACTCTTCTTCTCTGTGTACGTACAGTAGTCCCCAGTACAGTGGATCCCCCCTCCCAGATTTGTGTCTTATAAAAAAAAAATCTGGTTATGGACAAAAAGGTAAAGAAAAACTGTTAGCAGTAGTTAGTTTCACTTTGGGAGCTGCTATTTCTAAGCCCTAAATATAAGTAGTTAAAGAAAACTCAGTTGGTGATGGCCCAACAGAAATTGCTGAGGTCTTCCTTACTTCACCATAGAAAGGAAGAGAGCTGTTCCCTCACACACATGCCTATCCTTCCACACACAATCCCTACAGAAATTTGCTATTATTGAATTATTTTTTTCAGGCGGTTTTACAATGGCAGCCATTGACTCACTACAAGCTATTGCTTCTAATTTAAAACCGTCCTACCTCGGAGAATATTAACGTTCCCCAAAATTCACAGTCCCGTTGCTACTTCCAAATAAGATCAAGCGGCTGCCACCAGAAACAATGGTACTGGAAACACAGGGAGAAAAAGGAGCCACGAGCCATCGTCGAGTCTCCCTGCGCTGCTGACGCATTGTATCTACGAGCCTTAAAACATGTCGATAAAAACACAGACCACGCTGGTAGCGCCTGTATCAGTGGGTGCCCGCGTGAGCAGCCGGTGTGTTTAGAGGTGTGCAGTCCTGCCCTGCAATCGTACTGCTCGGGAGCGTCGCTGCTTGGTTTTGTGTGTCAGATTTTTGCAGTAGAGAAGGGGTCTGCAGAAACGTATTTCAAGGCAACCATTTTGTTTCCCGGGACTAGCTGAGATCCTGCACACTAAAACGATGAGCTGGCCACGCACTGAAAGTTCGGTACTTGTGTGTGTCATGTGAGAGCAATCAATAAACAAAATGAAGTTAAAAGCACATAGATAAAAATGAAAGCGATGAAGCACACACCCCTAGGGGGTCATGACTCATGGGCCGGGGACTGAAAGCCTTTGCTATGGAGGAGTAAGGATAAGGGTTGCATACAGCAGGCTCTGTCTCAGCATCTCCCTAATTAAAATAATTTTTAAAGGAAAAAAAGTGTCTCTCCAGGACTGGAGAAATGCTACCTCAGTTTAGCGCAACAGTAGCATTTTAACTATGAGGAGAGTACACAATTTATTTGCAGCTACCTCATGTCAGTTATTCTGAATAATCCTTTTACGCTAGACATTGGGGGGGGAAAAAAAAAACTTGATAAATATGGGCTGTTTTAATATTCCAAAGCAGGAGCAGCAGGTAAGAACTTACCATTTTCTGGCTGGTCCTTAATATCAGCTTCACTTGGCTGGCTGGGACTTTCAGATTGACTTGAATCTGAAAAACATAAAATACAGCCAAAAATTACAGGGTCTGCTATGGAAAATAGATCAGAGGCGCCAGACTTCCTCAAAAGGCTGAGAGTACAAACTAAGGACAGGAATGTAGCACCAGGACATGATAATGCAAAAGTCCCGTGCCTAGGTAATATTTTTGCTAGAAAAAAAAAAGGGGCATCTTGTTTACGGCACCACACAGGGTGCTTGGTCTGTGTATTCGCATAAATTAGGCTTTGAGAATCCTTCTTTTTAGAGAAGGCATATTTAAACTGCCTTCCTACATGTTTTTTATAATGCAGCCTCTATGTTGTATACAAACCAGAGCCTTAATCCAACGCATAGTAAAGTCTCAAAACGTGTTTTCGAGCTAGCATATAAAGGTAACTAAGCAACGCTACAAAGTTGTGGAGATTGCTGTCTACACATTCCCGAAAATCTGCAAAACTGATGTAAGAGCTGATTTTTTCATCGTGCTTTCGCAGTGGTTACAGTACTAGACCACCGCTGACATGAACGGCCTTGCTCCTGACTTGCAGTGCTAGAAAACGAGATCAGATGCTGGATGAGCAAATACCGACTTCTGCAAACTCACAGCTAAGAGTCTCCAACAAGCACAACATACTGGCCTAAAACAATCAAAAGATCCATGAAAGAATATCTGTTATATGAGGGTTTTGCATTTTTTTAGGCTGTATTAACTCTATTTTACGTTAAGATCGCTCTTTGGTTCAAAAATTGTTCTTAGCATAAAGTTTAGGCAAACCGTATTTTCCTTCTTAATTGTTTCTAACGCTACCAACGAGGGAAAAAAGCCCTTTACATGTGCAAAAAAATATTTTTTCAAAAAAATCTCAAATTATGTTTCCTCAATTAATTTTAAAAAAAAGTTCATTAGGTTTTTTTTTTCCCAGAAATTGTTCTGTAATCACTTGATCCTCTAAACAAACTTTTTGCAGTGAAACAAAACTGAGGAAATGAAACCATTTGTTACTGCATCAGAAACACCTACATTTGTGACAAACCTATGTGACTTCACCTTGACTTTGCAGAGTTGAGAATTAGCTGTCTGAAATTTGACCACATTTCAGTGAGAAGTCAATGCAAGATCAAAAGGTCATGACACTTAACTGTGATTAAATTGAAAATCTTACTTCTATTGCAATAGAGTGATAATACCACCCCTCCTTTTTCTTTGAGGTATTAATAGCGCTGGAAGAAGCAGTGCTACTAGTGACCTTGGGTCAAGCAATGCTAATTTATTGCTTTAAAAAGGTTCCTTGCTTTTAAGCAAATGAAGATTTTAATTACCGCAGAGTACTATAAAGAAAATGCCTATTTTAAATATTCAAATTTTTTTTTTTTACCTGCTGACTGTATGCATTAGGTATCATTCAGAAGCTCAGAGGACAACCTTGTATAAATTAAAAACTACAAGTAAAAAAAAAAGTGCTCCCAAAACAAATTTTGATAAATTTCAGAATATAAACATGCAAAATATTTAGCAAAGAAAGCTTCAGTCAAGATATTTCTATTTAAAATCAATAGGTTTCTGCTAAAACATGGATAACACAGTTCCCAAGGTCTCCAAAATCTGTTTGTTTTTACGTTTATTATTTTAATAATTTCTCCAATCAAGCTTAATGAAAAAAATTATTCTCACTTCTCCAATTTTATTTTAAATGTTGATCTTGTGGGTTATCCTTAATCAAAGCTCAAATCAGTGACAGCACATAGTCTACAGGGTAATATGCACAGCGCTGTTATATTCTGGACACCAGATTCTGGCAGCAAATGTCATGTTTCCAGTGCCATAGAGGTAGAAACAACGGTAAAATATTGCAAAGCTAAAATATGTAGTCAACATTCAAAGTCAACATTCAGTGTATTTCATTTTACAGGGCACGCACTAAGCTTTTGCTTATTTTTTTGGCTTTTGTTTTCCTTCCACAAGCTATGGTTCAATCAGTGTTTGGCCTTTATGATTAAACTAGAGTTAGAATGCCATAAAAAATACAGATATTTTAAAAAGTTGCTGTCTAAATATGTGACTCAGACCTTGTTTTCCTTTAAAAATATTAAACCAGGCAGGGAAGCAGCAAGAGGGATGAGTGCTCAGTGGCACCGGCCGGGGCCGGGCTCCGAGCTGGCGCTGCCGGCTCCGGCGTGACACCTCGGCTCCCCGGCAATGCTCTGCAGCCGGAGCCCAACGCACGGATCGGCAACTGCTCCTGGATTTTGAGAAACAAAGTACTTTTGTTCGTGTTTAGTGCTGCTCTTCCAACACCAGAGCTCGTGGCAAAAGGGAGCCTCCACCGAGCGGAGGGCATTCGTCTGCACGCTGCATCTTAACTTTCCTCTTTATTGCTCTGCCTCCCGTAATGCTTTTTTTTCTTAATTCTGTTTTTCTGTAACCCATCCCTTCTATTGAAATTAAAAAATAATTCAAGAAAATGACAACAAAAGCTTAAAGCAGCGCTCCTCACGGAGAGGTACGGGGCAGTAAAATGCAGGAAGATGCAGAATTTAAAAAATATATACCGTGGCAGAGATCATGGGAGGCTACCGAAAACATGTCCTGGGCAAACGTCTGCTGAGCATTGTTATGCAAGGTGGCATCTTGTGGAAACCCCAGATAAGAACCCGGAGTAAAGGCACTTAGCCAAAATGTTTATATGCAGAATTTTGCTTCCCTGATTTTATTCCGATGCCGCAGATGATCCGCTACATATAAATGTGCCGCCACATGGTTAAGGGATTGGCAAAATCAGAGCCGTTGTATTTTACAGTCGTGCCTAGGACGGCAGAGTCTCGTTCACCCTGCACAGCTCGCTCTCTGCTTTTGCAGCAGTTGGCAATAACTCCTATCGGGGGGTTTTTTTGTTTTGTTTTGCACATGCACAAACTTTAAAATTCCAGTTTGCCGAACGCTTAGTGGTTTGCGGGCTCGGATACAAGGGGAGGGGGGGAGCGTCTGTCCTGCTGAGTCAGTCAGCCAAACAGGTGACCAGAGGAATAAATTAATTTTTGCCCATACATAATTGATATAAATGGAAGATCGTTTTCATAAGCATTTGCATTAAATCAATAAAATCACTTACTATAGAGCAGTTTAACAATTCATTTGATTTTCTCTTTTCTATATATTTGATAGCCACTCTGCAAAACAGTATACACTTTATGCCTATTTTCTTTAGCAACAACACTGCCAGTTAAATCCTACCACCTGCAATAATTAGAGCCATTGGAAAACATACAAAACAAAATATACAGTAGATGCGAGCCCCTCTTGAATCCACGGCCCCCTGCGGCAACGAGTTTCATTGGTGCCTTAAGCTAAGGCTGGTAGGAAGCCAAGGAATCTGTATATTACAATAAAGTGCATGTTATTAAGGGGAGGATTTAAATGATTTCAGATGGAGTTGGAAATATTATAGTGAGGAACCACTATTAAGATTGCTGATTTAAAAAAAAAAAAAAAACGCCAAGGAATCGAGTTTTATATTTAAGGAAGCTTAACCTTGAATAGCACAATGGGTTTCATTTGGGAGCTTTTTTAGTTAAAGAAAGTTAGCGGTTAGGATTTTTAACCCTAAACTAGCTAAAGTTAGCAGGCCTAAACACGCTTGAGTCCAGGTTAGTGGACGCTCGACCGGATCTAGCATCAACAATAATCACGGCGAAACACAATAAAAAAAAACCGTTGGAGCTATTTTATTCTCTCCTTCCCTGAATCAAGTATGATTCTGGGGTAAAAAAAGGCTGTTTTTTTCCCCCCCACGCCTCTATTTGCTGTTTGCCGGCGGCTCTGCTCG